TAATTTTTCACATTTTTTTTCTGTAAAATGAATGCCGTAATTGTAGAGCACCTCGTTGGCAAGAGATTTGTTGCAGAGGAATAGTTGGAATTTTCAGAGTGAATAATTTAAAAAATGCAATTATTACCGGCTCCTCAAAAGTGTTAAACTTTACTTTGTTGTGGCTTGGGTACATTATTGGCATAGGTAGAATATCTCTTTGCCAGGTGAAGAATGCATAGTATGCGTTATTTACTGCTAGAGATCTAATAGGCCCTAATGGCTGGAATCAGCTTGGTGTGTCTGCTTCTTGCAGAACAGTCAGTCGCTTTGTGATGTGTACTTGAAAGGCAGTCACTGATAAAATTGAAGAAATCCATCATGATTTTAATAATAATGGCATTTATCTGCTGGTCACATGCTTTTATCATGCAAAACAAAGCATATATGGAGTGCCAAGCTAATAAGAAATATAGCTCCCGGGGAGGTTACAAAGAGTTGACAGAAAGCATCCTATGAATTAATAACACGCTGATTCAACAGGTTGACTGCTTTTAATCGTGCTCAGAATTAGTAACACGGTATTCAACTGGTTTAATAAACAACAGTACAGCTGCTGAGATGAGTTTTTGATTTCCATTGAGAATTTTATTCCTTCATTCATTCCGTTAAGTCCGATTTTGGGATATGCCAAGTTCACAGTCTAAATATAATGCTCCATATGACTGCCATATGATTGTAATCTGTTGGTTTTACCCCTTCTGTATTCATTGAACCATCTAATTTCTGTTAAAACAATAACATTTTATATTTCGCTCTAGTAGTTTAACCACAAGGTTGGAAATTGCAACATTCAGATGCTTTCAATTGATCATATTTCTTCTTCTTCTAAACAATTAAGACTAGTTACACCTTTCTGTATTTTGTTTCCTTCTTTCGTCATTTTTAAATCACTAGAAGGATTCTCCCAAATTTAATTTGAATTATTCAATTTAGCCCCCTCCTTCCAAAAAAAAAAAAATTAATAATTTTTTCATGGTTCAATTAATGACAGGATCACAATAACTTGTGAGTGGTGAAATGAATCTTAGTGAGATAGGAAGGAAGTATGGCATAACTCAATTTAAATTGTAGCAACTAAGTCTACTTATTTTACTTTACTGAACCGGAGAATGAAGATTTTATTTCAGGAAATGCACGCATGTCTAGCTTTGCTCAGAAAAGACACTAAAATACCACATTTAAAGGCTTTGTCCTGCCTTTTTGGATTTTTTCTTTGTCTTATACAATATTTTAACCTTTTCACAACCAATTCCCTCTTTTCATCACAAAATCTACTTATAGTCTGCACTTTCCTTCAAAAAATAGCAACAATTTTTGAGTAAAAACTGAAAATTTACCCAAATTTTGCCTGTTGGCTCCAAAATTATAGTTCATTTCCAGAAATATTGAAGAATATAAAAAAAAAGTGCAAAAAAAAAATAGTGTGAAAGTGTCTAGTCGTGAAATGGTTAAGCCATACCATGTTCTCACTTGACAAAATTACACCTGTGTAAGTTGTGCGTGGTAATTGACAAGATAAGGATATTGTAATCTTGCGCTCAAGAGGCGTTAACGTGGTGGCCGCTAGGTAATGCACACAATGGTACTGGATTGTACATGGGCAATGATACAATTGAACATGCGTTTCTTTGTATGCATTTTTAATTGAGCCACGCAAAATGTTATAATTATATAAATATATTTCGTAATCTCTATCATATTTTGAGTTTAACAATATATACATGCTAATATGAATAACTTAAACTGCCTTGAAATTTGACACGCATTGAGGGTATTTTTTTTATTTTTTTATTTTTAAATATGATGAACATAAATTCAATTGACTGTGGCACTCAAATTCAGAGCATCAATGCATTTGCAACACCCACTGTGAATGGTCACCGCTTTTTCTTCCTTTCAAGGTGGCTTAAGCTCAGCCACACTTAAGTCTCTTTAGTAACTTGTTCACATCTGTTTTTCTTTTGCACCTTTTTTTCTTCTTTGTATAACAGCGTAAAATAACACGTAAGGCAGATGTGTACACGATACCAGTGCGTTTATCTCTGAAAAATTCATTGAGAGCCTCTGTAGACAAATATTCTGTTTATAGTTTTTAAGCAACAGGGATGACCTATTGAGAAGAGATTATGTGCACTATTTATTGGCTAATTTATCGTATAATCAGCATCCTAATATATGTGATGTTATCACTCCACGGCGGCAATCGACTATTTCTCCTTTCCTTTCATCTCTGTGACTTCCATACCTGCATGTGGGGAGCACTTTAATCAAAAATCAAAAATACCGATTTCCGTTTCTAGCATCCTGATTGTGTTCTGTGTCTTGCACTCTATTGTCCTTCTTATTTGGTGCTACAGCCAACCTGACCTGAAGTCATGCTCATTACATCAATTTGAAGAGGAGCTGGCTGTTTCCATGGTAACATCTTGCTTTATGTGGTTTTTTTCTTGCGCGTTTTATCCTTTTTCTGTAAGATTCTCTCTGGGAGTGATGGCAATTGGTTGCTGTGGTAACCAATTCAAGGGTAATCACTATCTTGAGTTTCTTGAAAATTGCTGCTTTTGAATCTTGGTGCTTTTTGAAATTTAGTACGTTTAAGTCTTGCATTGCAGTTTTGTAGATTAATTTCTTGTCCATGGCCAGTTTTTACATTCACCTGAGTGGTCTGTGGCACGTTTTTGCATTCGCATACTAGTTACTATTTGATTGCCTATTTTTTTCCATTTATCAAGGTGTTCTATGGCCTGTTTTGCCATTCACCTGAGTGGTCTGTGGCCCGTTTTTTTCCATTCACTTGAGTGGTCTATGGTCTTTTTTCATTCACCTAAGTGGTCTGTGGTTTTTTTTTTTACTCACCTAAGTGGTCTATGGCCTGTTTTCTATTCACCTAAATGATCCAAAAAAAAAGTAGCATTACATCTTGTGTTACCTGTCTATATCTTTTATCCATAATTGTTAATTATTAAAGACTGTGAAAGTGTGTTAATGGATTGTGATACTGCCTCGGGGTGCTCACCACTTTGTAACTTGCCCTCCATTATCACCACGTACAGCTGCTATTAAGAATCTGTCGTATTCAATTAACGAGTGTACTATTGTTTGATTGGAGATGACCTCCGGCTCTGAAAACTGTGTGCAGTATTTGCTTTAATAAAAGTGCACATATTACATGTTTTGTATGCTGGGTTTATTTTGACAGTAAACTTGCGTTATCATTTACGAATGCACTACTGATAAAACAAATACTGTACTCTGATAATCCTGTTCACTGCGATATCTTGCATGCACTACTGATAAAACAAATACTGTACTCTGATAATCCTGCTCACTGCGATATCCTGCATGCGCTACTGATAAAACAAATACTGTACTCTGATAATCCTGTTCACTGCGATATCCTGCATGCGCTACTGATAAAACAAATACTGTACTCTGATAATCCTGTTCACTACTGATAAAACAAATACTGTACTCTGATAATCCTGTTCACTGCCATATCCTGCATGCGCTACTGATAAAACAAATACTGTACTCTGATAATCCTGTTCACTGCGATATCCTGCATGCGCTACTAATAAAACAAATACTGTACTCTGATAATCCTGTTCACTGCCATATCCTGCATGCGCTACTGATAAAACAAATACTGTACTCTGATAATCCTGTTCACTGCGATATCCTGCATGCGCTACTAATAAAACAAATACTGTACTCTGATAATCCTGTTCACTGCAATATCCTGCATGCGCTACTGATAAAACAAATACTGTACTCTGATAATCCTGTTCACTGCAATATCCTGCATGAAGCATGAAATCAAATGTAAACAAACGAGACAAACGAAAATAAATTCATGTTCCGAATCAAATCATTAAAGTTTTGCGACAGATGTTTGAAACCCCTCTTTCGCGCATTCTGGAAGATTTGTTTCTCAAGGAGTCGTCAATTATAAAATTTACATGCTTTCTTATTTCATATGTCTACTTGTGAATTCTGAAAATATTCTTGTACTTTCCCTTGATACATTGCATTTTTAGCTCCGTTGTCGACTTTGTGGAGCGGAGCTTATCATATGAATGATTGTTCGTTGACGTCCATCGTCTGTGCCAACTTTTTCAACTTTATCTTGAAAATTACAATTCTTGTTGCTTTGATACTTGGTGTATATGTACCTTGGGCAGACCTCTCTTAGATTTGTTCATTTCGTGATGGTATCTCTAATTTTGGTGAATATTTTTGTCATTTTTGGTAAAAAGTGATATTTTCAACTTGTTAAAAACAGCAAGTCCAGTTGTTTTGATACTATACATATAGAGACCTCAGGTAGATCTCTCAGATTTGTTCCATTTTCTAATGATATTTTCAGTTTTTTAATTGAAATGTGCATTGCTAACAGCAAAGCTATCTCAGCTGAGAGACTGCTTGTTTAATTTTATAATCATTAAATGTTTTCTTAGTTTTCTACTCGATATCTTTCTGAATACAATTGCCTGTTATGCGCTACATTTCCTTCTGTCTTATCCAGATGAATCCTGTTACAAAGAAATTTGAGTTGTTGCTTGCATCTAGGGACTCTCATCTCTGGCTCTCAGTAATTCACATTCACATGTTAGTGCGCCCTCTAGTGATTAACTCGTGCAACATGCATTAAAGTTGATTATGTATGATGTATTAAAATGGACAATGTTTCATAATATTGATGTGTTGTTGACAGCTTGCACAATGGAAATAACATTCCTGTTTCATTAGCTAAATGCATCAAATAGTCTAGAAAATATTTTTTTGATAAATGAGCTAATTTGTTTCTTACCCTGAGGTAACCTTGAAGCCTTATATCAGACACGCTGTGAATATCTGTTAAGTTGACTTCATTTTACTGTTAGTCAGATCATTTTCCAACTTTTTATTATTTTCACATTAACTAATCATCCTGTGTTTTGATGTCTTCTTCTCTGTAGGACGGAACGAGCTTATTGCGAGGTATATCAAGTTACGAACGGGGAAAACAAGGACTCGTAAACAGGTAAGCCTTGAGAATGAAATGTGACAGGCACAGAAATTCATTTATTGCTTTGTTATAAGTCGGTTATTTCTTTTTAAATCTGCTAATTGTCACAATGTTCTACAATTTGAACAAGTTTCTCAGTTTATTGAAGTTAATTACGATTGACTCTTCAGAATTGACTGGTTTCAGTTTTCGTTTCATCAAAAGGTTCCATTTAAGTTGTTTTAATCCTTGATGAATCTGTTGTTATTGGCTGACGAGGGTTTTGTGAAATCTGATAGATTATGAATATAGGCTTAAAAAGCTATGAAAAAGGAAAAATTGACAGATTTTTGTATTTATTTATTATTGGCAACTATTCGTATCATGCAAACAAAAGCTCAAGTCTGAATTGACTTCAGATTTGGATTCATTTTTTTATTCACCTTTTGTTTCATTTTAAGGTTGAGGTTACCTTATCGTTTTCCTGGATTAGAGTTTTCTGAAAAAATGCAAATAATGCCATTTTGGTATTTTTGGTAATTTGTCTAATGCTAAATACTACGCATAATTCAATTTCTTACAAAATGTTTCAATACTAGTAGTTAAACAAAAGTGATCTACATTTAATAAGTGTTTGTGGTTTTTGTTTTTTTACTTTATGGTGTACACTTTTACTGTGTTTTCTAAAATGGGTGGTTGTAAAAGACATGTGACCAAAAAAAAAATACTCAAAAAAATATTCTTTTACCCAACCTTAAACCAAAACCCAAAATAAACCTGAAACCGAGACAAAATTTTGAATTGTTGTAAACTAACATTTATTTCAGTATTTCACAAAACTTGTTCTTGTGTCTTATGATGTCACTTTTCCTTTTGCTGTTCTTTGTGTCAATCTATGAGTAACGCCCCCACCAGCAACCCCTGTCCCCCACCCCTACCCCGCAGATAAAAATACTCATGAACATGCCCCCTGTATTTTTTGATCGGCTAACCATGCATGTACTAACAGATTGCATGAAACCTGTGCTGTACCTCTTCAGCATATTCTACTTGATGTGTGTTATGGACAGTTAAAACAGCACCAAGGTGTTAATCTTACTGTCCATAACAATTTGTTTTCCTCATCTGTGAGTTGAAACCTGTGTTTAACGAAAACAGAGTTGTTTTATAGTTTTCCACTAAAATCTGTACAAGTTGTGAAGTTTGCACTCGTGGATTTGTTTACGTGACGAGTGAACACATTAAAATTATTCGTCTGTTAATAAATCAAAAACATTACCCATAATACTCTCTGATGTGTGATTTGTCATCTGCAAACTTAGAAATTAAATTTAAAAAAATTTTGCATTCAGTTTACATGTATGTCCCATGTAAGTTTTTTGGAAGTATATTTATGGCTTAAAATTTGTCATTTTAATGACATTTTTTTTTTCATTTACATTTTCATAACACAAACTTGTGGTAATTGAGAAAAAAAATCATAATTTTTATATCCCAATTTCATCAAACAAGTGCTTTACAAATCAGAGAGGATCATGGGTAATATATTGCACTGTCTGTTCAGAGACCCCAATGTACACATGGTGGGAACGTAACCGGGGATATTACAATTTTGTCGTTACTATCGCAGGTTTCCAGTCACATTCAGGTTCTAGCACGGAGAAAAGCTCGTGAAATACAATCAAAATGCAAGGTAGGCATGCAGTCATTACTGGTTGTGTTTTTATAGTGATGGTTGCCCCTTTAATTTGTTGCTACAGGTATCCAGTCATATTCAGGTCCTTGCGAAACGTAAATCACGCGAGTTGGCCTCAAAGATCAAGGTAGGTCATCTACCTGATGAGAAAAAAAATATTGTTCAAAATCATACTTCTGTGGTCTGCCTTTCTGAAAAAATAATAGATGTGTATAAAATTGATTCTGAGTAGCACCATTGTCTCCATGGTTCTGCATAGTTAAAACACAAATAACAATTTTGACAAATATTTTAAAATAATCCTGAATCGGGCATGCAGATTGTAATATTTACCTATTTTTTAATCTGGAAATTACCGCTAGTATTTTCTGTAATTTTGCATATTTTTGAAAAGAGACAAGATTTTCGCCATTTCGTTTGTGCGTCCTTATCTTGAAATATTTAGACAAAATAGTCGATACTGTGAGGAGGTACAATAGTTGGTTACCATGGAATTACATGAGGGAGGAATTGGCAGACCACAGAGTGTTTTTCTACTGTCCTCATCATTAGATGCAAGTAGCCATAGCAACAACATTCCATGCTTTACTTCCATATAGCTTCTCATAGAAAGTTCTCTGTAGCCATAAATAGTCATTGTATCATGCATTGCACTTCACCCCCCTTCCTTCTGGACAACCAACCCACCCTCACCGCCACCCCACCCTCACCCAAATACAATTTTATTAAGAAAATAAATCTAAGAAAGAAAAACAAAACAAGTCTGTGTATGATTATGCTTTAATTCACTGTGTTCATTAGAGTGAGATCTAACTGGGGAAATAATAAAATTTGATTTGATGCATTGTGTGTTGTTTATCATGGGTTTCAAATTTGAGCGTTCTGACAACAATCCTCATTTCTCATTGATGCATTGAATATTTAGCTAAACCCTACTTTTAAACTAGTTTCCATCACAATTTACTTCAACCAATTTACTTCGTTGCCAAGGGGTGTAATTTTCTATATGAGATCTATTGGGCAGTTCTAATTCTTGTTTTTAAAATTGCGTAAATTCACCTAGATTAAAAATTATCAACATTATTAAAATCAAGCAAAAACAACTAAGTGAAATTTTCACCTCGGTTTAGCGTTCTTATTTATGACAGCCCTTCTCGCCTATATTTGTGTTAAAATAAAATAGATTTTTTAAGACTTGCTCCCCTGCTACCCAAATGGTATGTCTCATTGATAATGCATGGTGATTCCATTCACTGAGTAGTGGGGACGCAGCATAGTTCCATGATGAGCACAAAGCTAACTTTGCTTGATGGCAGCTTTTGGCGTAGCATTGTCTCTGCAAAAAAAAATATCATGTAATTATATATTAAAGATGGACGTTGCTATCACTTTTGATAACTGGAATTTTCTGAAATCATGCTAGTTTGTTCTCTGTAACTGGCTATTTGAAAGTCTGGGGAAAAAAAGACATGGAATACTTAAAATATTATGAATCTCAATTGCACACATTTTGCTTTTCTATTCAAAATTGCTACCTGATAAAGCATTTATGATATGGAAACATCCCAAAGTCATTGTTTCCATGGAAACAAGTTTAAGTACCTACTTTTTGTTTGCTGTTTGTCTATTTGATAATAATTTCATTTAGGAAAATATAAAAAATATGTATTTGAATTTTTTAGCATTTAAGTAGTCGCTTCCATCTTTGATAAAAAAAAATAAACCATTTCACAGCATGACGAGTAACGTTTTCATCAGGGATTTACTTGTTTACAGGATCAAGCGACGAAGGACAAAGCGTTGCAGAGCATGGCGGCTATGTCATCGGCGCAGATTGTCTCTGCAAGTGCTATACACAACAAGGCAGCAAATAATCTGACTGGTCTTGGAATCAATGCTCCACAGTTGAGAAGTTCCTACCCTGGAGCCCCGGTAAGACTCGTTCTACTTCAGTTTTAATAATAGGAAGAGTTATTGTTTAGTTTTTCTAAATGGACCACTTTTCATGGTCTTTAGGCATTTTGAGAGATTAGGATCAGAAATTGACTTTCTCGTAGCTGGTCGAGACTTTATATTATTCTCAGATTTAAATCACAGAAATATGAAACAACAAAGAAAGGCATATAGTGTTGAATACCATTACTTGCATCAATTTTATAATTTAGTATGATCTTGTGATAGTGAAAAATGCAGTACTATCCTCGGGGCGGACATCCGGGCATTTTCACCGCTTGGCAACCATCACGGTGAAAACAAAGGCCAAAAACTTGTGGAAAACGGTACTTTGGGATTGTTGTTGAGAATCCCCTGAACAGTGTAACAAGATTAGCCCTGCATGTGTAACATATATAAATTTGATTGTTCAGGATTACTTCAAAGTTGAGTTTGTGTTGTTTTCTCGAATTTTCACCGGCTCGACCGGTGTTCCACAGCAGCGCGCACGGAGCTCATAGAAATGCATGGTACAGTGGTGCACGTTTTAGCAACATGGAACGTTCTGTGACGTAGCTCCGCCCCCGAGGATTGAATAGAGTAATCATGACTTCCATCAAGTCAAACTGCCACTAGTAGTACAGTGCCATCTAGTGGTGAAGTGTTTCTGTGATGCCATAATTATGATATACGGCTCTAAGCAATGTCTTTGAAAATGACAGTTGCATATTCTGATGATGTGAACGCTGTCAAAATTGACCTATATGTCACTGTGGTTCAATGCTTACTAAAACGATATATTCACCAGTCTCAAAAATTGTGAATTAGCATACATTTTTAGTTACGAAATATAACTGGTTTAAGTATGTTAATTTGTTTCGAAATTATTAGTTTTCAAAAATTACATAAAACACGCGAGATACTGCACTGAAATTATAGTGTTTCACAACCATTAAGGCCGATTCTTCTTTAGTTAATAAAATCATAATCTTACAGTTACCGTCTGTTGTATTCACTAATTCATCCAAATTGAAATTTTGTGGTTTTGTTGATACTAGATATGGAATCCTACTGCTTTGGGACAACCAGGAGCCTCACCAGAGTAAGTACATGTCATGATCAATAGTTAGTCTACAACCTTATGTATAAAAAAATGGTTGTAGGTACCGTAAAAACCCGCAAATAAGCGCCACCCTCAATTAAGAGCCACTCAGTGAAAATTTGTTACATATTTGACCCTCCATTAAGAGCCACCAAGAGTTGAGTGGTTTTGTCAATAAGAACCCTGAAATAAGCGCCAGCCGCCAGGTTGTTTACAATCAGGCAGACACCGAGCTTGTCGTGCCTCACTTCCACCCTGCATTGTTTATTGCCCCATAGAAGGTGTGAGACAAATAAAGATTATCCCCATAACTTGCCTGATGTCCTGTGTAATTGAGAACGGAAGAATGATAGACGAAAGAAATGAACTGAGAGCGTGAATGTGACTGTCAACTTGTCCATTTTATATTTCTGACACACAATCGACCAATTC